TAAACAACGATTATATTAAATCTTGTCCTACATGAATTATGCTTGTTGTCTTACATTAGTTCGGTTTAACTCGTTATCAAGCGCAATGATTTCAAAAATCTTATGAAACCGCTAAGTATGGTCCGGATATTTTCGTTTAAAATAAAATTCTGCAATATAGCTGTCCATATGATGCTCGCGACGTCCATAACGAGGAATGTTAGAACGAATTTCTCGCCAGATACGCTCGATATTCTGGGTATGCGCTCCTGTGTCAGGATCCACAAAGTTGTAAGAGTGATTAACAGTTAAATGCTGAATCTAAGCTTCTTCTGTATCTAAGCAATTATATGCTTTCCAGCAATCAGACATAATCGTGGTTCCTGGTAGAACATTCGCTTTTATCGCATTTAACAATGTCTTAGTTGATCTATCTACAACAGGAATGACGAATAATTCTTTCGATTCTCTCTCGAATCCGCCGAAAAACCACTGTCCATCTATAATACGTCCTCGGTGATATTTTCTCTTGCCAAATTTCGCTTCGTCGATTTCAACAACACGATTCGGCCCGCCAATTTGCCTCGAATTTTCGGCACACCACGACAATAGAGCTTCTCGAATGAAATTTGACCAGTCAACGATAGTGTGCGGACTCATTTCTAATTCATTCTCCAAAAAGTTTTGACGTGGTGGACTTATGGTCACGAAATATCCGATAAACGCACAAGCTGTTTCAATGGATATATTGGCGTTCTCAAACCACGTATCTTTTCGAATCGTTGTACAGAATGAACACGATACAATCTGAATCTTATGTCCTTTCTTAACTTTCCTTCTCTTCTGGCACCTCCACTTTAATTGGCGATTGTCAAACGATGCTTGTTTCCCACAACTTGAACAAGTCACTGATCTTTTAATCACGTTATGTGATTTTAAAAATTCAAATAACTCTTTTTTATCATCGCACATCCGTAAAAAAAATCTTAGCTTCAGAACACAGCCTTCGCAATTCATTGTCTAAGCTCTAAGCACATGTATCTCTGCTCGTGTACTGAAGGAAAGTATCGATATATTCTATTATCCAAATAGAGCAGTCAATGTCATGTAGTGTTGTGTATAAGAAGTGACGTGCAATTATTTAATAGATACACAGAAGCTATTATTTTAAAGAAATGTGGTATACGTTCATGAAAATCGTATTGTCTTTTAAACATAACTTCATCTAGGTAATATTTGTAATGTTGATGTCATATGCCAAAACGAGGCAAAGCAGAACGGGTTCCGCCGTTAAAAAGTTATTAACAAATGAAGTTAGTGATAAGAGTTTGTACCAAGCATATGTACATACATACACACACACACACACCGAAGGGGGCGTGCGGAGGGCCTTCGGCCCCCCGCCCCCCCTCGAGGGTCAACGGATGAAACTCGTTTCATATGGAAAGTCACATGTGAGTTTGCGACTTATTGCGACTTTCCACGTGAAGCGAGTTTCACCCGTTAACCCTCGAGGGGGGGGATGCAGGTGGAGGACCGGAGGTCCCCCCGCACACCCCCTTCGGTGTGTGTGTGTGTGTGTGCGTGTACACATGCTCGATGCAAACTCTTATCACTAACTTCATTTGTTAGTAACTTTTTAACGAACAGTAAGCACGGACTAAAACTTTTTGCATGTTACTCGGGAGAGTGTTCTTGATAATATATATAAAATTCAAGGTCATCAAAAGTGGGTCCCCTTAACCCCATATTTACCATTAAAACATATATTAGTCTATTTTCATCAAAATTGGAGGTGCTGTAGCCTTTTGATAAGTTTACTACAAATTGTTAAAAAAAATATGTTGGTTGCATACTTTTCGGGCTCCCCCGATTCATTATTACTTTTGGAGCCACAACAAAAATTTTGACCACAATAGCAACAAAAAAATCTCAAAATTCGAAAAAGCACCTATTCTGCATAATTACCAAAGTAATGATCAATGAATATCTTGAAAGCGAAAGTTGTCTGTAAACAAAATGATATAGTTTTGTTTTATGTCCCTCTTGAAACAATATAATTTTTGTTTGAAACAATATAATTTTTTGGTATCTTTCATATTTTTCGAGATTTTTGTTTAGCTCATTTAAAATGGAGCACTTTGTATATATATCACTGTATGTAAATTTCCGTACATTCTAATATGTACGGTGTACTGCAAAAAGTTTCTACATGTCCGATCAGTCGAAACAGCAATCCTCTCCGCGCGGATCACACCACATTTTCTCTTTCGCACCCTTTCCCAATTGCAGACGAGCGGAGCCGATAAGTCACCAGGCCGATAAGCCGAGGGGGGCGAGTCAAATCCGTAGAAATGATAGCGAAGTTCGGGAATGGAATCCGGCGCGAGGTTTAGATGCCGTTCTCTCAATTTTACGACCGCAATTGGCCTACACTTTTATTGAAGGGGGCGCAAACGGACGCAGGCGCGCTGAGGGAATTCTCCGCGAAGATTCGAATTCGCGCTCGATAGAAGGAAGATTGACACTCGAATTAATTTCTACGCGAAGTAACGCGTCAAAGTGGAACATCCGTCCCGTTGTGAACGTGAGAACGCGCGTTCGCATGACTATTATTCCTTGACGAGTTGCTTCGTTATCACGCGCGAGAGCTCTGAGAGAGGAAGGAATGGCGTCGTCGTTTCCGCCATTCTGTCGCGGTCATATCTATGCGAGTGAAATAAAGGCGGACGAGCGCGTAACGCGCGGTACGGCGAAATTTTATTCCGCTCTTATATTTTCATGGAGAAACGCGGGACTGACGCTAAGGAGCAGCGCGAAGAGTCTCTTCCGTAAAAGGCGGAACACACTTCGCGGTAGCGCGCAGCGAAAGAGAGCGGGACAGCACGTATTTACCTCAAAGGATCTCCCAAGTGTCGTGCATGTAGATTGTCACTCCGCCTTTACGCGCGAGAAATTGCATGCGCGCGTGTCCTGCGCGTAGCGCATACGGAAGAACGTACGAGACGCCTTTGACAGCGCTCATTCGTCGATTTTCACACCGAAATTTCGCGGCAAGCTTCGACCGACATGCCTCGTGTCCGATCTTATCAGCGACGGCTAACATGTCGTGCGTCATGTGTATTTCAATTAATCCCGCGGCGGTTTGATGATTTCGGGATTGTGTGATGTCGACTCTCTCGCGCGAACTATATAAATTAGATATTCGATTTAATTCTTAAAGGCTACTATCACTTGAAATTTCATCTCATGCGAATTTTTTTTGATCTTATTAAAAAATGTTTGTACAACCGCTGCAAACAATAACTTCTCTACTTTTAATTTAGTATTCAATAATAATATAACGTTTAATCGCATCAGTTTGACTTTCTTGATTTTTAAAAATAAAAAATATATGTTGGGGTGAAATTTCACTCCATGTGAATTTTGTTTGGATCTCCTTAAAAAAAACATATATATAACCATTGCAAATAATAACTTCTTTATTTTTAATATAATATTCAATAATAATAAAATGTTTAACTACATCAGTTAACTTTTTCGAGTTTTAAGATAAAAAATATATATTAGAGTGAAATTTCACTACATGCAAATTTTATTTTGATCTTATTAAAAAACATTTATATAATCTCTGCAAATAATAACTTTTCCACTTTTAATCTAATATTCAACAATAATAAAACATTTAACAGCATCAGTTTGACTTTCTTGATTTCTAAAAATAAGAAGTATATATTAGGAAATTATGAAATTTCACCCTATGTGAATTTTGTTTGGATCTTATTAAAAAAACATATGTAACCATTGCAAATAATAACTTCTCTACTTTTAATTTAATATCCAATAATAATAAAATGTTTGATTGCATCAGTTGGCTTTTTCGATTTCTAAAATAAATATATATTGGGGTGAAATTTCACCCTACGTGAATTTTATTTTGATTTTATTAAATTTCAATTATCCGTTGCAAACAATAACTCCTCCACTTTCCATCTCATATTCAATAATAATAAAACATTTACATGCATTAGTTGCCTTTTTCGATTTTTAAAATGAAAAAATATATATTGGGGTGAAATTTCACCCTACATGAATTTTTCTGAGTCTTATTAAAAAAGCGTATGTAATCACCGCAGACAATAACTTCTCTACTTTTAATCTGATAATCAATAATAAAACGTTTAATTGCATCAGTTTAACTTTTTGATCTCTCAAATAAAAAGTATACCCCGGGGCAAAATTTCATCTATGATAGGATTAACGTGACTTTTTTGATGAGATGGCTTTCAGGGGTTAACCTTCGCATGAATATTCGCGTTATTTCTCTCCCTCGATCGGCTCGCTCGATCGATGCTCGACTCATCCGGATACAATAGCTGCGCTTTCGCTTTGCACATGGACGCGAAGGGCTCGTCGCGCGAATCTCGATGATTAATTATGATTCAGCTTGCTCTTCGTGACTGGAAGTCCGGATCGGGCAGAGTGGCCGCTCGGGAAGCAGCGAGACGAAATTCGAGCGAGCCGATAAAAGCAACCTTCACTCAGCGTAATGCAATTCTCACGTGGCGACGCGAGACCCGCTCGCTCATGACGGTCCGATGTGTATTTACGCCTCGCATCTCGATCGCCGCGGGCGCACGCGGATGAGAAATGTCTCCTCGGCGAGAGAAGCGCAGCAGAGCTCGAGCCGAAGCAGGAGCCATTAGCGGCGTTTCTCGCGGCGCTAATTCCCCGGCAAACTTTCGATCCGACCGGCGATACTAATGCAAGATCGGGAATCCGCCGGGCGGCGGCGGGCGAGGCGGAACGTGCAGCATGGAAGAAGGAACCTGCGTTTAATCAGTCGAGAGCCGCAGCTGAGAGCGGAGGGTGTCGTCGGCGAACGCATGCGCGTCCCCTTTACATCCCCTTGAACTACCGGTCGCTAGTAGCTAGTAGCACGCGTCGACGTCGGCGTCGTCATTGTCGTGGTGGTCGCCGCCGCCGCCGCCGCCGCCGCCGCCGCCGTCACCGCCGCCGTCACCGCCGCTGCCACCAGCGTTATCGTCGTCGTCGTCATCGCCGGCGCCGCGACGCCCAGTAGCTGCCGACGTGTGCCGCGTCTCTTCGGAGCAGTGCGTGTCCACCTGTCGCGACAACACGTCCTCCTCCTTCTCCCTCCCTCTTTCTCTGCCACTCTGTTTCCGTCTTTCTCTCTTCTCCACACTTGTTGACGTTTTTAAAAATTCCTCCGTTCGCACGGGAGTACGCGTCGTCGCGCGAGCCGCGCACGTGACATCGTCGCGGAAGGACCCCGCGTGGTTCCTCATCTCTGGTGGTCGTCGTCCACCTCGCGTCTTCGCGGCCGGATCCTCCTCTCCGGCTGGACGTTCCGGTCTCCCGCTCAGTCACGAATCGCTCAGCCGGTGATCGTCGGGACGGAGGAACGCCCGCCGTGCGGCCCGCTCGAGCGCCCGCAGGAGAGGAAGCTGTCAAACGCCGCACACGACAGCCTCGTCGCGCATGGCAGGATGCTGAGGTAAAGAGTAAATGAGCGTGCGGTCTCTCTGCACGAGAGGATCTCTCCTCACGTGCCGCGCGTGTGTACGGCACATTTGAAATTCAAATTTTCGGCGAAACAGCCCGGTCGCCGGCTCGCGGTGGATTGTCGCGCCATCGAATTTCAGGGATGTGTATATATACATATGTATGTATATTTCTCCCCCTCCTCATTGGAACGGGGATGCGCTTTGCGCTGATTTTTCCGTCTTCCTGCTAGCCCGATGCCACTTAGCGGCTCGGTCGCGCGTGAGGAAACGCGCCGGTGCACACAGCGCGCGTCGCGACGAGCGGAAAAATACGCGGAGAGTCGCCGAGGACGTAGATCCTGTTTACGTCGAAGTTACCGTGTGTGCTTTCAAAGTGCACCGACGAGATCTCTCCGACCGCGGCCGCAGCCCGCGGTCGGAGAGATCGGTCTCGGTTCTTTGGAAAAATATATCGACCCGCGGAGAAGTAACACGAACGCTCCATTAAGATCCACTTATCGAGTTCCGTTAAATTCCAAAGAGCAGTACCTAGGAATAATATCTGGCGTTGCGAAGACACAGCTCAAGTAAACTTCAAGTTAGTCTCGGGTCTAGTAATAGGGGTTCTTTCATTATATTCGAGAGAGGAACAGGGTTGAGGGGGAACTGGATTGAATAATTAGAAAGAGTCGCGCGCCGTCGTGTCGGACAACTCGCTGTTCGAAGCGGCGAAGCTCGATCGTACCATCCTTTCGATCTGTTACATTTTTCGGGCGCAGAGAGCGAACGCACCCTGGCTCGGCAGTTCGTTCAGTCCGGGCGATATCCGCGTGGGAAATTGATTAAGAGTGCCGGGAAAACGGATAGTAATATATTCGTCGCACGCGTGAAGCACGCCACGCTGAAAGGGCAGCGCAAATATATTCTTGGAATTCCTCGCTCGTTTCTACGTGAAATAAAATTTTACTTTCAACTCGCCGCGATTTTATGTCTCGTTAGTTACACGTTTCATCCCGCGCTCCTGTTTATACGGCCGGTAAATTATGAACCATATTACCGACAAGCAGGAATTAAACCCGTGCTGAACAAATGCGAAAACATATAAATTCTCGCGATGATCCCGCGAGAATCTCCGCGTGCGCATAAAATATTCTTAATGCCAACTTGTGTAAAATTCAATCAAATCAAACTGATCGATCGCCGCGAAACACCGTTGCGTTTTATGCCATTTAGATGTTGAATCTAAAGCAGAGGCAGAAACCTCGAGACGGAGACGTCGCTCGAAGACTTCGCGCTCGTTTCCTTTTCGAAATAATCCTACGCACTTCATTAACCGCGCGCGAGAGAAACCGGCAAAATCGATTCGGTAAACCACTGAAGCGTCTCCGTGACTAATTACCGCGCAGGTAATCCAAATGCGACGAACCCATTGCCGACTTTCCTCCCTCTCTCTCTCGCTCCCTCCCTCTCTCTCTCTCTCTCTCTCTCTTTCTCTCTCTTCCTTTCTCGCAATCGTGCTTACGAAACATACGTAAAAACGCCCGTTCTTTGGTAACGGTATCTTTCACTTAAAACGAAAAGCGTATCGCGCAAGTAGCACGGATATCTCCTTCCCTTTCTCTTTAGCCTTTTTTTCTCTTTCTAATCCGTTCCCTCTCCTCTTCGACTAATGCTTCTCTCGAGAAAGCGATTGTAAGGGTCCACGTGCGTTTCGGAGTAAAGGGTATCCGACTTTTATCCCCGGGGCAGGAGCTGCATTTTTCGGCGCGCTACACACGTCGGGCGGCAAATGAGATTTCTTGATGAATCGCGATTCGCGTTCCACCAGAGTGAGAAAACAATGCCGTTATTTAAAAGCTTAGTTATGTATTTTCCCCCACCTTCGCGTGCCGATCCAGAACGGGACGTTCGCTTTTGCGCGCAATTGATGTTTTACGCGTTAAGATAAAGATAAGTCATTAAGATAATCAATCTTCGATCGAATAATAATTAGCGCGGACGTTCGCGGTGAATTTCGCGCCACGCGCACATATTGGACGTCGCATCGGTGTTACGCCGCAGCTTAAATCGCATTTCTGCGTGCGCGCGTAACGATACGTAATCGTAAAAGGACAATTGGCCGTCAGCTCTCTCGGCATTTCCACCATTTTTGTGCTTCCTCTTGTTTACTTCGCTTATTCCCGCCCCTCTTTCGCGTGATTCCGCATCGATATCAATTACTGTTATTCGAGAGCCGCAATTACGTCAACGTGAAATTACGGTAATACGATATTCTCAGAGGCGATATTTTTAGTTTCATACGCGCGCGCGCATTGATCGTAATATACTTGCCTCCTCCCCGAGCGTCGAAGTTTTTGTCGCAGGAAGAAAAAAGGAGCACGGTCTCACTTTTTTCCCGCCTCGGTAGCTCCTTTTGCCGGGTAGTGCATTATAACAAGACGTATATAATGTTTCATTATTGTATATCCGTTTTTTCCCTGCTTCTTTTTGTGCCAGCGCCTTTCCTTCCTCATTCGTTATTGTAGCCGCGGTGTGCAACCGCGCATACAACCCCTCGTCGCATACGATATATTCCTTCCACCCTTCTTGCCGTTGAGAAAAGAAATATCTCCACGTTTCTCCGAAATATCTAACTGTATACTCTTGTATATATATATATATATATATATATATATATATATATATATATGTCGTGTTAAACTCGCGATGAATCATGAGGAGTGCATGCGTCACAACACACGCGTCGTCGAGCATACCTATCGATAAACTATAAAACGGATATAAATCGTAGGTAAAGAAAATAGGAGGTGCTTTGTCGCGCTACGTGAAATGTAATTTTTACCTCATCCTATATATCCTTCAGATATATCGGAACTTCAATATCCCCCTTTAATTGGTTTCCTGGGGACGGGCACTCGCGATAATAATAACGGAACAACGGACTGGCGCGAATTAATGTCACAGAAATAAATTAAATAATAGTAAAGCGCCTCGTGTGTGTTATTACATTGTCGTCGATGTAATAAATAGACAACGGATATGAAGAATTTCACGCACGCGTGAAACCGCATCGGCGTCGTTGTTAAGTATGCTTTTGACTCTACGGGCTTAGGACGAACAGCTGGGCAGATTTTTCTCTCGCAAAGGATCTCTCAGTGTCGTTTGAAGGGAAGCAAACAGCAGCGGCGCATTCGAGATAGAAGCGCGCAGGTGGAATTCGGAAGCGTGATATTAAAATCCTAAGTAGCGTTGCGCCCTACTTTTTCTACGATCATTCATGGACGGTTGAAAACACTCAAAACGCGGATGCCATTAGATCGTATTTTACGCAGGAAGTTTCACGAGGACGCGCCAGCTCTGGCGCTTTCGTGTGCATGCGCGAGCGTGAGCGCGAGCGAGGAGACGAATCGTAACTGCGGCAATTTTAACAACTTCGACACGTGTGATTGAAAACGCATTAACTTATACTACAGCTCGTATCCTGCATCGCATTCCGGCAAGAACACGCTCGGAATTGTACGCACGCTCGGTAACTTTTTAATCTCGTCGGGAGATTATATCATTCAGCGCAAAATTTCTCAGCCGCGCTCTGCTGACGGTTTCAAGCTACTCCGGCGATTCTCGTTGTGCGGACGTTGTGATGAAACGTTCAGAGACCCCTTAAAAATGCATAAGGCAAATTTATAACACGTTCAAGGAAATATAAGTGCCTCCGTGCAAATTAGACGCCGCGAGATCCCTGGAGAATCATGAATTATACAAGGACTCTCGTGTGAAATTTTAAGTTTGATTATAATCGGAAAAGCGGGAAGTCGTTTAATGTAGTTTCCCGTATAAGATGTTATGTTAATTCCGTTTGCTTCCTACATTTGAAATATCTCCAAACGCAACTAATTTTGCTCGAAATCGCACTCGGAAGCGCTGCGTTCCTGAAACATCTATTATCGCAGTTCCAGTTGTACGTAGCGGCTAATTTCGACAATTTTCCTTTCTGGTTTCCTTGCTGACTTCAGTTTTTTGGAATGAACTTTTCATAGAATTATTTCTCTTGTTTTAGGCAAATAATACAATATGACTCATTTTAATTTATCTATTAAAATATCTCGAAAAATGTCAAAGATATGGAAAAACGTTTCAAACAAAAGTTGTTTGGTTTGAAAGAGGACACAAGACGGATATATCATTTTATTTACAGATGGCGTCACTTTCAAGATATTTATTGATCACTACTTTTCTTAAGTGGAATCCCCCATTTTTTATTATATCTTTTTTTATTAATTAATTTAAACAACTTTTGTCTGAAATATCTTTTTACTAGCCTAATATTTTTTGAGATATTTAATATTAATTGGTAACTTTTTCAATATTCATCTTATGATATCTCGGTAACTATTTGTCGTAAGAAAAAATGGTACTAGACTCTTTTATTTTACTTAGTCTTAAAAATATATTGTTATAAGAATATACTGCCCTGACCTTTGTTAATTTGATGATTCTGAAATTTCCAAAAATCGATAAGTTAACAAAAGTTAGGACACTATTGTAACAATATATTCTTGAGACTGAATAGAGTAAAAAAGTCTAATACTACATTTTCTTCTGACAAATAGTTAGTGAGATATCATAAGCTAAATATTAAAAAAGTCACTAAGTTTACCTTATATATTTCAAAAAATATTAGGCAAATAAAAAAATATTTCAGACAAAAGTTGTTCAAATTAATTGGTAGAAAAAGATGATGTAAAAAATTGGATTTCCATTTAAGAAAAGTAATGATGATTTAAGAAAAGTAATGATGAGTGAATATCTTGAAAGTAACGCCATCTGTAAAAAAAATAATATCGCTGTCTTATATTCTCCTTCAAACATTTTGTCTGAAACGTTTTTCCGTATCTTTCATATTTTTCAAGATGTTTTAGTGGATAAATTAAAATAAGCCACCCTGTATATGTCTACAGAGAGAATCTGGAAATACATATTTTTTCTCCTGTCTAAAAAGGAAATAAGAGAA